TTTTGGCCCTTTCCTTACCCGTAAAACCCTTTTCCACCGCTAGATTAGATTGATATGATTTTTGTTTATTTTGACTTACTGCCAAAAACGTAGTCTCTCCTAATTGTCCTGTTTGGATAATAAATAACTAGAACCTGTTTTCCCACTAAATGTTTCAACACCGAATGTTGGGGAAAACTTTTGCCTTCTTTGCAAAACGTCTCACAATGCTGCTATTAAAGACGTTGTAACCGCTGAGTTTAGCCCTGCTTTCAGGTGGATGAAGGTTTGTTTATAGAAAAGCCTTGAATTAAGATTAAGTTTTGTAACAGAACAGTTATCAGTCAAGCTCTGGCTCTAGACGTTTATTTGCACACTGATTCATTCACGCAGGTTCCCTCAGATAAGCTCAGTGCTTTTCTCAGGTTTCAGCTTCCTTCTTCTAATTGTCGCTCTCATAAACTGGCTTGTTTCTTCTGGGCGTGAAAAGACATGGAGGCAACACAGTGGAGCAAGACAGTCTTTTCAGCAACAGCAAAGACATGCACAGAGAAAAGGCCTGGGTCAGATGACCTCCCAAAGTCTTTCCCAGCCTCACCTGTACATGTAAAATATTTACTTACAGGGTCTCAGGTTTAGCTAAGCATGGTTTGCAGACTGTTCCCATGGTTACATGAAAGCTGTATGTGTTAATTTATATATTTTGACACTAACTGATGACAGTTGACTTGTGTGCAAAGACCATGGTGTTTAAACAGTTAGGAGGGAAGTGAGCACACGAAGGAGCTAATGAACATTTTAAAGGTGGGAAAGTAAATGATCTGGCGGCAGCAATTAACTACCTCAGCACTCATATGAATGTGTATAACAGTCATATGAGTTCTGGAGCATTTATTTACTTAATCAAAGGTTAAGAGCATTAAGAAGTGGGGGAAAAGCGGATGTGAGGTGAGAACTCTGAGAAACTTTAAAATAATTGCTATTACAACATTAGCAGAGGGGACAAATAGACTATTGGACTGAAACTAATTCCTCAGTGAGGAGACAGAGTATTGGAAGAGAGCCAAGCACAGAAGTGTCAGATATGACAGATCAACAAGCTACAAACAATCTTAATAGAATAACAAAGGAAACATGAGTTAGAATTCTGAGAACTGTAATTCAAAGCATTGAGAGCAAAAGTTAAACCTGCCAACTAAATAAACTACATGTAGTCATAATGGAAATGTTTTGTTTTACATGGTCTGAAACACAAATTCTGAGGATTGCTTATAAGAGGCACATAGGAAGCAAAAAAAATAAGAAAAACAACAAAAACAAAAATTAGAGAACATATATGAGTATAGCTCAGTAATGGCACTTATATTGATGGGGCCAGTCTAACTCACCTGTGTAGCAGGTGGTTTAAAATTGAGAACATTTTTATACTGAATAAACTTCTTATTCTATTTGATATAAAAATCAGTTATGAATTGAAAGGGAGACATTTTCTTATACATTTAGTCTTTTTTATACTGATCATTAACTCGTCATGTGGGGTAAATTTCTGGTAAAATGTGCTTCCTTTGAAACGTGTCTTAGTCACATATGCTTTTATACATATTAAATATTTTATATTCAAGTTAAAAAGAGAAAGGAATAAAGAGAGAATATAGACAATTCTTTATGTTTTTGTTTTTTAAGATAGCAGACAGGGAAGATGGGAATGATCCAGTAGGGAGAGTAAAATCAGTTACGCAGGAGAGAAAGGACCCTGGCAGGAATGAGATCACTGAGTGAGCCTGAGGGGATAGGTTAGGAGAGAGGTTATCCTAAAGGTAGCCAGGCTATTTAGGTAGAGATTCAGGTAGGTTGGTAGATTTGGTATTGAGGGTGTGTTCATTTTCTGATCACGTCTATTTTCTCAATGAAATGATGGGAAAGGACATTCGCTGAGAGTTAGGAGATAAGGAGAGTGAGGTGTGAGGAGAAAGAAGTGAAAGAATCCCTTCCGAGACTTACTAGGGGCCCCACTTGAAGAAAATGGCCATGAGTTTTAGAAGAGATTGGTTCAAATGTACAGGTATAAGCAGAACATTGAACTTCATCAAGGCTTTTTCAGGCAAGTATATGGAGAGAGAGGAAAGGGAATTGAGTTCATCTGCCAGGAGTAATTACAATGAAGAACTCATGGAAACTAACCCAGGTGTGGGCTTGATAAACAGTGAAAACGAAGGTGGAGCTGAGATCAGTAGCTTGGACGTCCTGGTGGCATCAAAAATTTTCAGAGACAGGGTTCCAGTGAGAGTGGACTGTACATGAGGATGTGTGGGTTGGAGAACAGTAAGCCTGAAATTCTGATTTTGAGAAGGTGAAGTTATTGGTCATGGCAGTTCCAGGGTCTAGGGTATGGCCCTGGAGTGAGTGGCTGAGATGAGTTTGAGGAAAGATGACTGGACATGAGCAAGGCAAAGAACTGAGTGAGAGGCTCAGAGGCTGTGTGGACCATTTGCCTGAACATTGAAATCAATTAAAATTTATATCTGAATTATAGAGAGGGAAGAGGGAGAAGGAAGGAAGGAAAGAAAGAGAGAGAGGAGAAGAGATGGAAACAGTGGGCGAGGTTCTAAATTTTTCAAAGACTAGAAGTGACTGGTGGGATTGCAACATAAGGGAGGGTAGATAAATCTCTTAATATTTTAAGAGATATGTAAAGGAAAATGTTGATAAGCATTAACATCTGCCAGAATAGAGGCTATATCAGATGCAGCTAGTTTGTATTTAATAAAAGACAACACACCAAAATGATTTTATATAGTTAGCAAGGAAACTGGAAAGCAAATATTGACCATGACTTTGAATGTTATTTCTACTCATACAGAATTAATAAGAAATTTCCAAATTCAGGATGTTGCGTTTACCTTCTAACTTGAGAACTGTGAGAGGATTAAGTGATTATACTAATGAAGTGTTTGGCAGAGGACCTGACCAACAGTAAATACCTAATAAAAGGTCACGAGGGGGTAAAACTAAAGGTGACTTTCTATGAAGGAGAAATTCCAAGTCTGCTTTGACACTTTTTAAAATACATTGTTTTAAACCCCAAACCAACTTTTATAATAAAGGTCACCTTGATCTACACTGGTTTGCCCAATTTGTACTGCAGATACTTTTTCTAATATTTTTGAGAAGAGACTCTTGTTAAAATATATAAACTCTGCTCTGGATATTAAATACTGAGGGGAAGATGTAATAATTGATGTTGGAACAACAGCCTAGCAGTGTTTTTATAATTATGGGCACATATTAAGATGCCAAACCCAGGATCCATAAAGTTGAATATATTTAATCATCTAAATATGGCAAAAACAAATGAATAACCCTTAAACAAGGTTTGTACTTTTTAATCTTAAGCAAGGTTAGAAGGCAAAAGACAAACAGAAAATTAGTTGCAACATGTGGGATGAAAAAGAGTATTAATTAAAAAAAGGCTTTGGAAAACAATAAGAAAAAGACAAACCATAATTCCTCTAAAGAGCAAAAGACATGTTATGAATAGGGATTGAAAATAGAAATGGCTAATGAATATGTAGGAAGATATTTCTCAGGGGGAATCGAAAGGACCTGGTCTTCATTGTTCATAAAACCAGTAAGGCCCAGCTTTAAAGAGGAGGCAGAGAAGCAGCCCTCCCCATCACTGTTCATGGGAATGAAAATTAAAACAGTATCGGCTTTTGGGATGTCGGTTGGCAATTTTTATCAAAATCCTAAATATAGATACTCTTTGGCCTAGCAATTCCACTTTTAGGAATTTATTCTAAGGAGATAAGGTGGCAGCACTCAAAGCATAGTGTGCCTCAGCATCCTCAAGGGGAGAAAAACATTTGAAAGCGTTAGTGGTCATAAAAAATATACATCTGACAGGCTGCTGAGTGAAAGGAGTATGTTACAGAATAGCCTGTGTGCTTTTGATTAGTTATGTAAAAATACGTGTGTTTGTGTAGGTGTATATATGTTTGTGTCCAAACTGATGTCTAAAAGATAGGTGATTATCTTTGAGGCGTGAAATGTCTGATATTTTCACTTTCTAGTTTATGTTTTTGTATATTACTTGAATAGTGTATGAGGACCACTCCAGGTCTTTGCTCATTTTCCCCTCTGCCTAGAACGCCCTCCTGCAGTTCTCTGCTCCGATGTCCCCCTTTTACCACCCTATTTGAAATAGAAATGCCACCCCTCTGTGCCCGTGCTCCATCCCTCATCCCTGTGTTAGTTTTCTGTGCTGTACTTAACACCATATAATATTTTTAATTTTTGTTTATTTATTGTTTATTGTCTGACTCTACCCCTCCCCTACTAGAAAGTAAACCCCAGGAGGGCAGGCCTTTGTTTTATACTGACCAGTAACCCCCGAGCTGGAAACAGTGTCCATCCAGTATCAGGCACTCCATAAATATGTGGTGAACGAATGAAAGTGCCCATATATGTATGTGCGTGTGAGTGTGTGTGTGGACATGTGTGTGTTCACACAGATATATGAATTGAGTATCCTTTACCTTTAATTCCCTACAAGGAATTCCTTGTCTTGTCTTGGGCAAGCCCTACCAAAGAGAAAATTGTTACCTTACCTTCGGGTTAATTTCTGTGTTGAATTTTACTTCAACCTTGATAGTCAGAAGTTTAATTGAGCTATAGTGATAACTTCAATCAATGTAAGGGGGGGACCCCACATATTTCTCTCCCCGGAATCCTGTGCTGGCATTTACTTAGCAGGAATCCAAGAAAGAACACAGCAATTTCCAAGTGTCAAAGGCTGTGGATTTCTTTCCCCCCAGATTTGAGAACACAGTTTCCTTGGTCAAAAGGAGGGCCTCTGGGTGGCCCTCTGCGGACACAAGAGGAATGAGTCTGACCATGCCATCGGCCAACCCAAACCCAGGACCCAGGACAAAGGCCGGTTACCCCACCCTGTACACTCGGGTGCTTTGGCTCATGGAGCTGTTGGTCCTGTTGGGGGGGAGCAGGGTGAGAGTTGCGTTTACCTGCTTGCTCCTCAGGGGCTGGACCACTTCCCTGATGCACAGCTCCAGGTCCGTGAGGTAGTCCTTCTCCGTCTGGATCAGCTCCCTGATGACCCTCGAGCGCCTGGCCATCATCCTCTGCGTCTGCAGCGCCTCCTCCTGAGGCAGGGCCTGCCCCGCGCAGGCCGCCTGGGGACTCATCCTGTCTGGGAAGGGGAAGCGCGCACACGTGAGGAGCTCTGCCTGCGGTTCCCGCTCCTTCGCTGCCAACAAGCCACTGCGGGCTTCCTGCTAGCGAGGGAAATGCTCAGGGCGTCGTCAGGGTGTGTCCTTGGAAAGTGATGATGTGCGGTGGTTCCCCTGGAGTCGGAGTCCCATGAAAATATGAGCACGGAGAGAGGTGAGAATGGACTGCTTTTGACAAGCCAGTTAAATGACATTCAACTGGCATGGTTTGTCTTTAAAATACCTCATTGCCACGATTTATGATATAAACTGGTCTTCAAGCTGGAGGTAAAATATGTAAAAACACTGTTCAGAATTTCTGAACACATTTGCTTTTTAAAAATTTATTTATTTATTTTTATTTTTTCAAAAATATATCTTTATTGATTTCAGAGAGAGGAAACGAGAGGGAGAGAGAGAGATAGAAACATCAATGATGAGAGAGTCATTGATCGAGCCCACAACCCAGGCATGTGCCCTGACCGGGAATCGAACCCCTATCACCTGGATCCTATGTCAACGCTCAACCGCTGAGCCATNGGCATGTGCCCTGACCGGGAATCGAACCCCTATCGCCTGGATCCTATGTCAACGCTCAACCGCTGAGCCATGCCCTGCCGGGCTAAAATTTATTTTTAATTATTGTCGACATACAATATTATGTTAGTTTCGAGTGTACAACATAGTGATTAGATGTTAATATACTTGCAAAGTGGTTGCCTCAAATCTAGTAACCATGTTACCATACAGTTATTATATTATTAACTCTATTCCCTATGCTGTACATTGCTTCTCAGTGACTTATTGTATAATTGGCAGTTTGTACTTCCTAATCCACTTCACCTTTTGCCCATCCCCAAACCCTTCCCATCTCTAAACCACTAGTTTCTTCTCTGCATCTGAGTTTGTTTCTGTTTTGCTTTGTTTGTTCATTTGCTTTTTACATTTCACGTATAAGTGAAATCATACAGTATTTGTCTTTTTCTGTCTGCTTTATTTCACTTAGCATAATACCCTCTGGGCCCATCCATATCGACATAAATGACAATGTTCCATTCTTTTTTATGGCTGAGTAATAGTTTGTTATATATATATCACATCATTTTTACCCATTCATCTATCAATGGACACCTAGACTGCTTCCTTAGCTTGGCTATTTTAAATAATGCTGCAGCATATCTAGGAATGCATATATCTTTTCAAATTAATGTTTTGGATTTCTTTGGATAAATTCCCAGAAGTGGGATTGCTGGATCGTATGGTAGTTCCATTTTTTACTTTTTGAGGAAACTCCAGACTGTTTTCCACACTGGCTGCACCAGTCTGCATTCCCACCAACAGTGCACCAGTGCTCTCTTTCCTCCACATCCTCGCCAACACTTATTCTTTGTTATTGTTTTTTTATAATAGCAGTTCTGACAGGTATAAAGTCATACCTCCTTGTGGCTTTAATCTGCATTTTCCTGATGATTAATGACATTGAGCATCTTTTCATATGTCTGTTGACCATCTGTGTGTCCTCTTTGGAGAAATGTCTATTCAGGTCCTCTGCTCATTTTTTAATCAGATTGTTTACATTTTTTATATTGAGTTGTATGAATCCTTAATATATTTTGGATTTTAATCCCTTATTGGATGTATCATTTGCCAATATCTTCTGCCATTCAGTATGTTGTTTTGTCACTTTGTTGATGGTTTCCATCATGGTGCAAAATCTTTTTAGTTTGATATAGTCTCATTTGTTTATTTTTGCTTGTGTTGCCTTTGCCCTAGGAGACATATTCAAAAAAATACTGGAAAACCAATGTCAAAGAGTTTACTGCCTATGTTTTCTTCTAGAAGTTTTATGGTTTTAGGTCTTACTTTTAAGTCTTTAATCCATTTTGAGGTGTTTTTCTTTTAAAATATGGTATAAAAATGGTCTAGTTTCATCATTTTTTTATGTATCTTGGACACATTTGCTTTTAAATCAAGGGAGACTTTTAATTAGTAAGTGGAACACCTTCCAATTTTGTTTGTTCCTATTATTAAAACTAATTGCTCCCTGTTCTAAGTGGATAAATATGCAAAGTTTACTAAGATGAAAAACAGTTGTACATGAGTGGGGCTTTTCTTTAAATTCACAACCAGAATCCACGAGAAGTGAGGTCGTGGTGGATTAAATAAATATCAGCTAAGACTTTTTTGCATGGCTTATCTTCAATACTACGTATATCTTGTTATCTCAAAATTCTTGAATTGCAAAACAGAAAATTTTAATTAAAAAATGACTGAAGAGCTGTTGCGGTAAATGGGAAGCTTCAGATGTAGCCAAGGTTTTATATAAAGCTATATAAGAAAGCTAAATATTTTCAAGGATGTGCTCCCCACAGTAACGTAAAACTTTGGAAGCCACAAACTAGGTTACAAATGACATCAGAGCAATGAGAGAGCAGGGTAGTGTGTGTGTGTGTGTAAACGAATTTGCTTCAAGCTCGAGGTCATCACAAACTTAATTTTTATCTTAGTCTCTGCAGTTGCAGAAGTAATTTCATTTTCTTTAAAGCTAATGCGATTTTAGTAACTGATATGTTCAACATCTTTGATGCTGACACTACTCCCTGAGAACGTAGAGCTTTTCAAAAGGCTTTGTAAAGACTCTGTATGGAAAAACAAAGGTGCACAGGTCACAGTGTATGGAAAGAGAGGATATTCTCTTGGATGACTGCAGAATCGAAGCTAAGAAAACTGGAGAAACTTTATAGTAGAGGAGTTCATGGTCCCATGTAAAAGGACTGTCCCAAGAATGTGAAGAGGCACTCTGAAAGTAGCAAGTACTCCTCTCTTTCTGGCCCACTAATTTCAGGCATTTCAGCAGCAGCTCCATAATCAAACATCTGTGGGGAATGCTGTGAAGGTAATTTCAGTGTTAGCTGGAAGGAGCACTAGCTGATCTTTGGGAAATCCTGACATTCCGGTAAATACGCTTCTGGACCATTTGCCTGGGAGCGATCCTTCCTTCACCAGGAAAGAAAATGGATTTGACGGATGCTATCTGAGAGCACATCGTTTGCAAGACTTGGGCCATTCAGTGCCTGAGAAATAATCCACCTGAGTATAGAAGAAGGGAGAATCTATGCAAAGAGAGAATGAATGCATGAGAGAAAGATATGCAGCCTGCATATCTTTATTTATGTTATGAGCATTTTTGGATGCTCACTAATTTACGGCATTTTTATGGGAGAGTAGAAGAAGCCCACCAGTCACCACCCCAAATTTGAAAGAAAAAGTTATTATCAGGTATCATTATTGTGAATTATTTTGGATATAAAAGAGGAAGGAAGGCCACTTCTGAGGGGACCTGCAGTGAGCAGGCTGTATACACTATATAACCTCCTCCTTAAGCCTCCTTTTGGCTATTTCTTCTAAAAGGGTGGGGACTGGCAGGCAGACGAGGGTGGGGTGTGTGGGGTGTGTGTGTGTGTGTATTTTTTATCTCCTGGGATATAAGTAGCTCACAGAAAAACAAACAAATAAAAAACAACAAACAAAACACCTCACTAGTACATATCTGACAAATCAGTGTGCATAGTATTCAATTATTAGTTAACATTACCTTGAAAATAAGTGACACTGTTGAAATCCCGCTTTGCTTTCCCAAGTCCTAAACCTGTTGTGCCTTATAAAAAGTATCCGTGAATTATTTGCAAGCCTAGCAGAGAAAAGGTAGTCCCACCTGATATTTGGGAAAGAAATATTCCTAAAATACATACTCAGATTCCTTTTAGTTCTGATTATACTACTTAGTTACTATTTCAATTTAATTTATTTCACAGATTTCCCCTTGCTACACTTTAAAATGTACTATATCAGACTTTACTAATTAAAGTTTGCTTAGATTTTCTAATACTGCTCAACAACTTGTTCAGATACAGTTGCAGAGTGATGGCAGCAGAAGCAAGTGTTGGTCACAGTAGTCAGCTTTAGAAACTTTTCCCCTCAGGTGTGAAAACGTTTTCAGAGAACTTAGAGTTGAGCAACCAAAATATCTTTGTTTGTTCCTTTGACTCAAGTTTATTGCAGGAACAAAGACCTGACTTGCATCATTTTATGGTCACGTCTCTAAATACTTTTTATGTTGGTATTTCTTAAACCAACAAACACTCTGCAATGCGTTGTGGACACAAGTTTTGTTTTCATAAGATCCTCTCTGCCTTTAAAACTTTTATCTTTTAATTATACTACGTTTTCACTTATAAAACTTTGCAACACCTGAATATTACCAACCTGTATCATCCAAGTCAGCAGTCTGCTATAATAATTTTTTATTTCAAGATAAAGCAACAGAGGAACTAAACATTTGGGAAAGAGGGAAATATAGAGCTTTACAAACAAATATTTTCCAGTTGTTAGCATAAGCTAAAAGGCTGTCAAAAACTAAGATAAAACTGAGGCCAAAAGTTCATGCAGGTTGCTTTAACCGAAATATGCCACTGTATAAAAGCAGTGCCATGTACTGGCTTCCACTGCCCATCCTATATTTCTTTCACCATCAAGCTTCATTTTCCCAGGAGTGATGATGAATTTTCACTATTCAAGCCACAAATTTCATTCGTAGCATATGTGGAAATTTCTGGCCAAGGAAGTTTATGCAAAAGGAGGTTGTTGTGGCTTGGGGAAGGGATAATCAGGCCTACGATCAGCTCTGCCGCTCTCAGCAGTGAGAATGAGGCAGACAAGTTAGTTATCCTCACAGAGTCCCTGTTTCCTCATCTGTAAAACAGGAATGAAAACCACTGCAGTGATATCATGAAGACTGAACTGAATGAGCAGCATAGGGGAAACTCCTTAGGATCTTCAAAACAGAATACATGTTAGGTATTTCCATGGACGCAGGGAGGATAGGATTCCATTATCTTTTCTCTTGAACTTCTCTATTATCTGGGGCAAACAAGTACCATTATAAGTTATCAGCTTATCAAGAAGAATGCATGACTCTGAG